TCTCTTTGTGAAATTTATGTAAGTGTGAGATCCGGTATCGATATCAAGGAAAAGAATTATATTTACGATTGTTATATCTAAAGTTGTACTTGGGTTAAAACTTGTAATACCTATATCACAAAGATTATAGTATTTTATAACAAAAAGTTATCATCTTTTATGCTTGGAAAGAAGCAGAAACATAAATAATTCCCCCTTTCCCTTTACTTGTACTCAAAGTAATAGCTGCAAGCTTTCTATGTATGGGTAATATCAAGAGTTAACATACATTTCCTTTTTTTTGGGGTTAAATGTACATACGTTTTTAATATAATGAGATTTTTTCGTACCGAAACTCATAACTAGAGCTGGTACTTTTGTATCCAATGCAGTTTAATTGAAATCGTAGTAAACAAAAAAAAAACCGAACTTTAATCCCTCAATTTTCAGAATGAATCTTTCAACCATGAATACTTTGAATTGGTTAACGTCATATATATTTATTTATATTTTACATTTAAAATCTTTGTAAATCAACGTTAATTTGGTGCCATCTTGGATTTGAGATTGATTTCATTTGGACAAAAAAGTGTATATTTTATGGTGTCACAGTATATACTGTATTAATTAGCAAACCTAGCTAATTTCAAACCCAAACCAATAATAAACAAACAAAAAATCCTGAAATTTCCTGATAAAATATTTATGTGAGAGAATATTTGGCAGGCAAAAGTGTAAGATTGTTCTTGAATGAATAACAAGGTTGTCGACTGACTACAAAACCAATCTGCTAACACAATCAATATTTCTTTGTTCCATATTTTATATTATCATCATTATTTTGTTCAAACAATAAACAAATACTATGAAACTAAGAGACACAACGGATACAACAGTTGCACCAGCTGGATTAAATGCATATCTTCTTCTGATTCTCTAAGCTGATTTACCTTAAGATTTAGTCAAAGCTCTTAGTTTATGGTACTCATGTATGTCTTCCGCTGTCAAATTTGTCAACAAGATCAGTATTATTTTCGTTTTAATGTTTTTTTATTACTTTACGTTTGCTTTACGCAAAAAAAATAGAAAACCTACTTTCCGATGACCTTTGTCGGGTCATATGCTTCATTAGCCAATGCATCATTCCAAATGAAGCAGTTTTTTTCCAGAACCTATTAGAAAATCAAGAACACAAATGTATTATGAAAGAATTCTATTATTGATTCTCATAAAAAAATGAAATTCATATAGAGATGGAAATAACGTACACAATTTCATAAACTAAGATAAAATACAAAAAC